AAGTAGGGTCAGTCCGCAGACACTTAAGAGCGACAGTAATGGCACGACGTCTAGAAAAGTAGTCTCGCATAGAGGTGCGAGCCGTCATTCGATTCTTATGTGCCAAGAATGTGGCCGCATCCAAAATTCACAGATAAATCGTTGAGGTACACGGGGGACAAAGCAATGATTAGACAACAGGTAGCGAAATGGTGTCGTTCTTATGAAGCCGGCAGTGAGCATGTGGAAAACCGCAATATGGAAGTGAGCGGCCGTCCAAGTTCTTCAAGGACGAATATCAATCAACACGGCACGTGTTGAAGAAATCATCCAAAGGGATCGACGAGCAACCGTGCGTGAGATAGCCTCAGAGTTGGACCTGTGTTATGGTAACGTTCAGCGTATCGTAACCGATGAGCTGCGATATTCCAAAGTTTGTGCCCGCTGGGTTCCACGTGCGTTGTCCGCGGAGCATAAGGCCACTCGAATGATGTGCAGCCTCACATTTCTTCAGCGATACCATTCAGACGGCCAACACTTCATTGATCGCATCGTTACCGGTGATGAAACATGGCTTCATCACTTCCCCCCACATCCAAAAGAGCCACGATGGGGTGGAAACACGCTGGATCACCGACGAGGAATAAGTTTAAGGTCACACCCTCTGCCGGTAAAGTGATGGCAACCGTTTTCTGGGATACGACAGGTGTTATCCTAATCGAGTATTTGGAGCGTGGCCATACCATTAGGGCCGATCGTTATTGTGCCACCTTAACAAAATTGCGTAAAGCCATCCGACGCAAACGGCCTGGATTACTGAGCAAAGGCGTCATTCTTCTGCATGATAAATGCCAGGCCCCATACAGCTCGCTAGACTCAGGAATTACTGCAAAGGTTCAAGTGGGAGGTCTCGAATCGCCCCCCCCCTACAGCCCCGATTGGGCTCCAAATGACTATTTCATTTTTCCGGCGTTGAAGCGATACTTATCCGGAACACGGTTCACCTCAGACGATGCAGTGAAAACAGCTGCCGAGAAATGGTTCAATGAGCAGGGCCCTGATTACTGCCAAGACGGGACAAACAAGTTGGTCGAACGTTCTGACAAATGCCTAAACAGGTTTGGCGACTATGTGGAGAAATGAAGGCCAGATGTGTCTCTTGATTCCCATTTGTATCTTGTTTCTATTGTTAATAAATACTTTTTCATTTGCCTTGTAAACTTTTTTCTGGATCACCCCTCGTATGTTTTTCCACTTATCTACAAATTCATATTAATCAAACATCTTTTAAAATGATAGAAATCTAATTTTGAACCGGTTCAATCAAACATCATTATAAAACTTTACCACTTCTATCGGAGAAAACACCACTGCTACGCGATTCAATTCACCTAGGGCGCTTCCACTCATTAGCGTGGCGGCGGATAAAAAACGGTATTTTGATCTGATTTTGTACTTCTGAATATGGAGTTGCTAAGCTTTTCTGAAATATTTGATTTTATTCAAGGAGGCATAAATTCTCGCTAAAAATTTTTAAAAGCGGATCATCTGGATGCAAGGGATTTTACTAGAAAAATCGAATGTACAAATTTTAGCTTCCTATTTAAGGATAAGTTCTATAGCGTCCAGATGGCATGAAATCGAAGGAAAATTTCATTGTTGAAAAAGTAGAAATAAAAATTAAAAAAAATTCTTGTTCATTTAAAGGAGGAACTGCTGGCTGCTGTAAGCATTGTTTTGCTATTTTATTGTATTACAACAGGAAGCTGATTTTAACATTGACTGATTGTAAACAAATGACTTCATATGTGTTTAACCTGGAATTTCCAGAAAAACTGTGCAGCCAAAAGTTTTTTTTTTTTATAAAAATTAGATTGAATCATTATATACTAAAAATATACTAATCTATTATATGCTTTTATTGTATTTATATCTATTATATACATAATAGCTATAATTATCAGATGCAATTTTGAGAATATTAACAAGCAAAGCACTTAAAAAGACACTTTTAATAGAAATATTAGCATTCTATATGAATTATCGTACATATATCATGCCGTCCTTGAGATTCAGTTATGGAGCTTGTAAGAGTAGAGAAATACAATTCTTCTGCTGAAAATCAGAATAGTACCAAAGTATCAATGCTTAATTACTTCAAAGCTATACTATATAATATCAGGGTTTCGTTAGGCACGTCTTTGCGATAAAGTGGAGCCAAATAGCTGGTAGCCAAAGTCCAAGACGATGTGGAGTGCAAAGGATCAACGGCCAGTTTAGCAGAAAAGTCGGTGAAATTTCGGATTACATCATACATTCTTTGCGCATAGGCGCGCAGAGGCTAATCGCACCGACGGTGCGAATAGCCAAGAGGCTATTCAAATCAACTACGTTCGCGCATGCGCACAGCCAGCCCAGGTACCAACATTTTACGCCGATTTCCGTAAGGCAGGCGGTGACCAGAGCGAAGGTTGTTAACTCTAACTCAGTAATAGAAAAGGTTGTTAATAGTTCACCAGCAAGAGAATAATTTGCGAGTAATCATTATCAGTTATAAAGACGAGTTCAATCTATATACATGATAATGTTCAGGAAATGATTAGATAAAATAAGGATTTAATGATGGTTCTAATTGCAAGCGAGGTCGTGTAATTAGTTAAAAAATCTTTAATGTATTGACAAAAAAGCTACAGAAATTACTTAAATTCTTTTATTTAACAAAGAAATTTTTATGTAAACTTAGACACTAGTCTTACAGCATAGGACTGTCAGAATTTATTATTCAATAAGAAAACTTACTGAAAATTATAATATTCTTATTCATCACTTTTTCAGTATCCACACATGTTTATAGGTTTAATTGCCATATTTCAAAATCAAAGTTATTTATGAAATAAAACTTATAAAATTCGATAAATCATTTGTGTGTGCAATTTTTTAAATCTAAATCTCTTACATTAAATTATTTCTGTCTTTTAAATTACATCCCCTTATTTATTTCGATTTAATTTATTAATGTGTTTGTACTAATATTTCAAAGTTCTTTGAACTACTTTTTGTGTTTTGAAAATGCCAAGTATTTTCATAAAAAAAAAATAAACAGGAATACAGAATTGTTAATAACTTATTTCCTGTCTAAAGTTTCTACACAGAAATCCTCTGTCTAATTTTTATTATCTTTTCTCAGGAGAAAATTTTCAAAGAGGAATGAATTAAAGTCTTGATTGCACAAAACACATCTTTGAAGGTAAATGTATTCTAAGAAGTACAAAAAATGTAAACAAATTTTGTCCGCCCCCTCCCAAATCAGTCATTCGAAATATTCCCAGCGTTCAGGAAAACGATAAATATTGCGAACATAAAAATCTGCCCTTTTTTATATATACTTTAATAAAAGGAAATGTGTTCCTTCATTTTTATAAGAAAAGGAACCCGTTTTCCTTTCTAAACTTTTGAAAGTTGCCAACGCTTAAAAAATGATAAATTAAGCCAAGGTATTAATGCGCCTCTTTTTTAAAAAAGATTCACTACATATAGTTCGCGTACGTAGAATCCGTTCTTTTCGATTGGGTTCAAATGAGGGATCTGACCACTCAATGCGCATGCGTGGTTAATGTTGGTGCGAATCAAGGTCTGTAGAAAGGTCCGTTTCTACGGCTAGGCGCCGATAATCCGTAAAATGGATTCTCGGAAGAACTAATATCTGACTAGCTCATTAACATCCAAATACAAAAATGTCACGCCCTAGAGCAAAATTTTGTTATTAAAATTTAGGATATTTTTCGGAGAACAGTCGGATATATATTTATTATCCTTCTTTGATGTTTTGGTGACTGTCTGTGTGAGAGTGAAAATCAAACTATCAATGGCGTATAAACTTCTTATGGATATATAGCAACTTGTTCTGGATATTATAGCAACTTGTTCTGGATATATAGCATTTCTTTTACAGCCACCGAAATGAGAAATGGTGTTCAACTCTACAATAATTAAATAATTCTTTTACTCATACTCTAAAATGAAAAAAAAAAAAAAAAAAAAAAAAAAAAAAACATAGCATAGTATATTGCCATTCTCTGGCAATATTCGTGCAATATTACTCAGAAGCTGCAGTTAGAAAAAAAAATGTAAACAAAAATATTAGAGTCAAAATATTGTTCAAATGGAAAAGAAAAATTTTAGAGAGCTATAAAATTCAGTCATTTCTTAAATGAAATTTTTTGCAGTAACACACATTGCATTTATTGAGCTATAAAATTCAGTCATTTAAGATGTATTTACATTTGTTTTGCATATGATTACAAATGATTGCTAATTTGGTTCTGTTATATTGCTAAATTAGCATTAAAAGTCGATGAAAACGCAATGCAATTACTTTTCGATCCGATACAAAGATTAGATAGAAAAAAATAAAAAGATCTCGATAGAAAAATTTTCGATCCGATAACATATATGCATTAATATATCACATTCCTGCTCATATGATCTACATATGTATCTGATAACTACCTACTTTTGACACTTGGTTCTGGATGTGTATTATTTTACAACTTCTTCTGATTTGAGAATCCAAGTGTTTAAAACATTATGTGTATGCTTGTGAAAATATAATTCAGATATTCTCGTATAATCTCGTATTATTCAGTTCTCATATAACTACGATACAAATAACTGAAAGTTTTTGTAGTAACACACATAATTTTTTATTGCATTTATTGCACAGAAATTTTGTTATTATCCCACACAAATCTGTTGCTCTGTGGCTTGTTCATTTGAAGAAAATAAAACTCATTATTGTTTGGCAGAATAACCTAAAACTGAATGGCATCATAACAAACTGCTAAAAACTGCTAGAAAAACCTGAATTTCTGTAGGAAATGTAAAGTGAAATCATTTGAGCAATTAAAAAAGGAAAATATTGTTGAACGGAAATCAGTTAGGTACACTAAGTCTTTTTAGGAAGGAATTAAAGCCCCAAGTTTATATTTTAATAATATCTGTGAGGTATAATGAAATTGTACATCTTAGCAAGTGACCTTTAAGAAAATGAAGTTACTTTTCTCATTTTTGTGGAAAAAGTTAAAATATATTAGTTTAAGGAAGGCTTGAAGAACATATTTCTGTGAACTTATGAAATTTAATAATTTAAATCATTGGCCAATTCTGTGGGTAAAATGTTTGGTTTATAATAACATTGAAAAAGTGAACAAGTTTGAAATATCTGGAGGAATTTTATATAGCGTATGAAATTTATTACCACATTTTTAATAAAATTTTAGAATTCTGTATAATATTTCAAAAAATGCTAAGTGCTTTATTTCAAACTTAAATACAGAAATAGGTTTTGTAACATTTATATATCTCTAATCTCTTAGTATGCTTATAGTTTCGACTATACAAATTGAATAAAATCTTTTTTACCAAAGTATAAATAGGTTACGTTCTTAGTGTTTCCGATTTCTGTGTTTCCAAATTTCAGTTTGAAGTGTCTGTGTTATCCGAAAATTTGAAAAGTACAATGCTCAAATAATTTAAACAGCTATGTTATGTGCATGGTATTAACATACTGGGGATAACATGTTTACTTATTTTAATGTAGTTATGAATGTAAAGTGGAAGCATTTTGTTTAAGTTTCTAATTTTCAAAAATTGCCGATGCTTGAGTTTCGCTTTTAATATTTTGTTACGTATGCCTTTAGCGAGATAAAAGTACTCATGCAGTGTTCCCAAGTAGTTAATGTTTCAGTTCTTATCAATGCTAGTTATAAAAAACTGCAAACTTTATGGGAAAGGAAAAAATCATTTTTTAGCCCAAAGGGTCAATTTGCCCAGAAGGACTATTAATTTCGTATTGTATTTTCCGTTGAAATGTCAGTTCACTTTTCAAATTGTTACCACCAAATATTAGAGCCATGTATAGTCAAAAGTCGTTAATTCGGACACCCATAATCCGACGCATGCGCATAGGTGTTTACGCATGTGCGTAAGACCTTTACGGCTGCGCATGTGTGCATGCACATAATACGTTACAGCGTTATGGAACACCACAGCGCGCAATGAATTGGAAGTTGATCTGTCACCATTATCCTTATCTTCAGGACAAATGTTTTTATTTTATTTGGCTTATAATTCTTTACTAAATGTAGTATTTCATCTCGATGTACTCTGTCTTTGATATGATTTAAATCAAATTCCTCGTCTTTATAATTCGCTTCCGATAGTGAAGAAAGTGACACAGAGGTTATTGAAAACGAAAAAATTTTGATTGACAAATTAGTCGGTATTCTCGACACAGGAATTATAGGACTTGAACAATGGAACTTTGTAACTGAACAAGAAATTATGTCGTCTGTTTATAGAATTAAAGAGAAAGTATTATCACATAAAACGAAGCAACTTAAACAACTTACATTGAAAGAAATGTTTAATAAAGTAAAAAAATAAATATTAAGCTTTTTTTTTTGTGTGTGTGTAAATTTTGATACCCTTTAGATCATAATTGTTCTTTATTTCATAAATTACAGTTTTATATTTTTAATTTTATAATTTCTGCATGCCACCTTACCAGATTTAAACTGATGATCTATAATCCAAAAGAATCGATAATCCGGAATCGGCGAAGTCCCGACGAGACCGTATTAACGACTTTTGACTGTATTATATTTAAAGAAATTAAAGAAGGAAGGATCTGCATAAATGTATGTATGTTTCTTGCATTGTGATAAAACAATGATACTTAGAGAGCCATCAAATTTTGAAGAATTACTTTTCTACCTGAATATGGGAATCTGGAAGCTTAAATTTGGAATTTGTTGTGTTATCCATTTCATATTTTGTAAAACTTTAATGAATTTTTTTATTAACAAACTCAATGATTTAAAAGTGAGCAAGGGGGCGGAGCAGCATTGTATATCCATCGCGCGAGACTGTGTAGTGGAAATTCTAAAGGGATATGCTCATTTTAAAATTATTTTGTGATATTGTTATTGAACTGAATTTTATGGTTTAAGTGCAAAGAACATGATATTTAATAAATAAAGGTTATAAAGTGCAGAATTGCCCATTTTTTTTGTTTGGTGCTTTTTACTAGAGTAAGAAGAATTAAATTTTTGTCAATCTTCTTTGACCTTTTTAAGTCAAAATAGGTCGATGTGTACATGGATAAAGTCAAGGGAGTGCGCAATGCCATTTTTGTGCAATTCTGGGATTTTTTTTCAAGTGAAAATACTTCGATGTGTACATGGATACTGAGTTTGTGCAATTCTTAAAAATGCACCAAGCAGTGGTGATTCTGCACTTTCCCCAATAGAGGTTAAAAAACACTTTTTTTTTCTTCCAACACAAAATGTTAAAAAAATGCTGCTTTGGGTGTAATGCAAAATCTGGAAGCTTTCAGATTTATATGTATATATTTTAACAAACCTTCATTTTAAATTTATGATCTTAAAAGATTTTATTTATGGTTGACATGCATTTTTCATTAACCCAGCACAAATAAATTAGGCACAATTGTGCCATGTTCTCGAAAATTTTTATGTCACTACAATAAACTTAAGAAGCAGGCAGTGTCAAGTTGGCAAGAATGAAGTGGAAAATAAATGATGCATTCAGGAGAAAGCGTGAGAGAAAAGAGTAAAAAAGTTTCACTTCTCAATTGAAATCTTAGTCAGTGACTGAATATATTTATATGTGTGTGTGTATATATATATATATATATATATATATACATACATATATATCTACTTTATCAAATATTCTGTCTTTCGTATAAAACTAATTTAAATTTAAATTTTAAATATAATGTTAACCAGAAATATGTAATCATTAAATTATTTAAAAACTTTTTGTTATGTGTTGTTATACATGTGATTTATTTGAAAAGTATGCATAAACTGATTGAATTTGAAGGCAGTTGTTAGACTTTTTTTGGATGAAATGTAGATTTGTAGAAGTTGAATAAAATATGAAATGTGATATTTTTTAAATTAACATTCATAATCTCTTTCCATATAGGATGGCTTACTTTTTCCTGACTTTAAGAAATTTGTTTTATTGTGGAATTCCTTATCATGTAAAGTTAAATGTTTTTGCTCCAAATAGGTAGGTTTATTTCCAATGATTATGTCTGTTATTAAAAAGCTATTTAATGTATTAAATTTTAATATTAATATCATTACTTACAGAGGTACACTGCACAAAGAAAAAAAAGGGGGGCAGTTCTATATCTTCTGTTCTACTAGGCCAATTCACAAAATTCAAATTGCATTTTTCATGTCTCGAAAGTGTGACTTGGGATATATATTAGATTTATATATAGCATCATTCTATCATAGGTATTTTGACACAAAATCGAACCTTTTCTGAAGTGACATGCCAATTTTTTCCATATTTCGATTGACTCAAATTATGCCTAAATATTAAATTTTGTAAAATTTGGTTTGGAGAAATTCAAAAATTTATCTTGGCGTAATTTTTTCAGTTTTCTCCAAGAATAATTTACTTGGCAAACTTCTTAATCGATATCAACCTATTTTCTTTTTTCCATTGTAGATGAGCGGGGAAAAAGTCATCATTAATGCTTTCAAATCATTTTAACAAAGTGCGTAAACCACGTTTGGCATTTATTAGCACTAAAAAAAAAAAAAAAAAAAAAAAAAAAAAAGATGGCAAATTCCAATATGTAAATTCATGTATATCTTAGAAATTTTTTAATAAAAAAATCTCTGATTTTTTGCAGGTGTGCCTAGAAATACATCTACTTTAAGACGATGTTAAAAATTTTATAGGTTATATACAAAAATTTTTCAAAAAATTTACAAAAATATTTTAAAATACAAATTTATAAAATAAATCATAAAAATATGTGAATTATATTTGAATTCAGCCTCAATTTCGAATTCTAAAAGAAGGAATCAATAGTTCATGAAGTTTAATAAAAAAAGAGCTATTAATAAATAAATATCAAATTCAATTAAAATTGAGGAGCTAAAATTTTGAGAGCTAATTTTTTAAAAACTACTCATGCGATTTTTACAGAACTTGGCAGTTTGGGATAACTTGAGTCGTAGAATCGAAATATGATAAAAAAAAAAAAAAAAAAAAAAAAAAACCATTTCAGAAAATGTCTGATTTTGTATCAAAATACCTATATTAGAACAATGTTATATATAAATCTAATATATATCTTAAGTTGCGCTTTCAAGACATGAGAAATGCAAGTTGAAATTTGTCAATCGGCCCAGTAGAATGAGAGACATAGAACTGTCTCTTTTTTTTTTGTTTTGTTGTTGGCATAGTGTATATCTTTCAGTTTGAGCAGTACTTTTTTTAGCAAAAGTTCTGTTTTAAAATTTTGAAACTTATGTATTAACTCAAACACCTTGGCACAATTTCTTAATTTTTTACAGATGAAAAGGTAAAAATTACTTATTAGGTGAAAGTTTGTGGTTTTTGAACCTCTTTTTTATAAAGACTCCCAAACTACCAAAATTTATCATAAATTGGTAACCATTATCAATATACGAAAGAAAAGTATATTGATAACTTACTTTAGCAATTTAAAATACCAATTAAATTAGGATTACATAATACATTAAAAAATAAAATACATACATTCTTCTTCAAATGTTTCTATAATTTTCTTGCGCTATTCTTTTCTCTAAGTACACAGTGATCTGTTTTCTCTTAAAAAAAAAAATAAAAAACAGAATGACAGAGGCTTGGCTTTGTGCTACGGTCGGCAACAGCAGCTGTTGGGGAAACACAATTTCTTGTTATGCCTTTAGAAAATTTATCCCTCACCTTAGCCAGATAGCCCTTGAGTGCTGTGCCATAATTAATAAACCAAACCAAAATCATAAAAATTCAGTTTTGAAAATCTTTGTTTTGTTGGAATATCATAATGGAAATTTTTCAGTCCTTGCCTTGAAAATGTTATATAAAAATAGTTGCATTTATTTTAGAACTAAAATATTTCTTTTACATATTTATGAAATTCTATTAAAATTAATTATTTACTCATTATAAAACAAACCATCTTTTCCAGTTGTAAATCGATGTAAAATATATTTTAGAAATAAACAGGAAACTAAGAAAATATAATAATCAAGTAAACTTTGATGAAAAATGGGCATGTGCTCTACAAATGAATCAGCATAGCTACTTGCAGATGGCTGTGGTATGCTTAAATACAATAGTATATAAAATCCTCTGTATCTTGTATACAAGATAACTGGCATTTAGCATTATATAAATATATCAAAGTTATTAACTACGAAATAGGGCCATACAGTTATTCAAATTACACAAATAAAATAAAAACAAATACATCAAATTTCAAATTCATATTTAGATGAATAACTCGTATATTCAAGTTAGCTTTTACAAATTTAGTGACTAAAAGGAAATTTTACTTTACCTTACAGTAATAATTAAAAAAAATATTTATTTAAAATAATCACAACAAATTTCAAAAGTGTATAATGTAACTAATTTTCATTATTTAATGTAACTAATTTTCATTATTTAATGTAACTAATTTTCATTTCATTTTTTTGTATTTTAAGATCATTTGTGATAGTATTACTGAAATTATGATTTTTTTATTATTATTACATTTCTAATTTTCTTATTTTATATAAAACTGATCCCACAGATTTCTTTCAATGCAAACATATCTATCAGGATTTGCCCAATTTTCACCAATTGATGCATTAATCCACCAGTGGTTAGAGTTGCTTTGGCAGTTACTTATAAAGCCCTTAATTTCTTGTATGAAGTAGATGGCTTTTTTGAACTGCATTGAACATTCCATAATATTACAAATAAATAAATAAATAAAAATTAAAAAAATAAAATAAACCTCATTATATATAAAAAAAATTAATAAAAATAGTAATTAGGTAATAATAAATAAATAAGGTGGGAGCCTTCAAAGTTAATATATTTTATCTTTGCATTTAATTAAGTAATTATAACAATATTCAATATTACTGTTTTCATATTTTTATGTTAACACATAAAGCAAAAATTTTTATTACATTTTTATACACTAATATTCAAAATTATTTCATTATTGTTATATTCATATTCTAAAAATAATTATAAAATTCTTAACAATAATTCAGAATTTTCAACATAAATTCAAATTATTTGATTTAACCATCCTTAAAAATTAATTTAAAAAATCTTAAAAATTCCTTATTTACTCTAATAAATCAAATTATTAGAATTCAAATTTTTATTATCATTAAATTATACTTTTCATGTAACAGTGCTACATGTAACAGATTTTTTTTAAATCCACTTTATTAAAAAAAAAAAAAAAAAATACCAATTTGTAATGTAAATGTAATCACAGAAAAGCAGAAGTGAAAATAATTTTCTAGCACAAACAAGAACAATTTTCAGTCCTGCACCAGTGAAAAATAACCTGGCAGCTTTATATGTATAAGAGCTAGAGAAAGCAATAACTAAACAATTAGTTCAGTGATTTTGAAAGCACTTTTGAGCATAAAACACTTTACATGATAGCACAATGATGATATATTTTTCTTTCACTTGTTATACTTTGCTTCATTATTCATTATTAAACTAATTAAAGTGTGATAATTCACTAGATGACTTATGGATTCGAAAAACAGCAGTGTGGATATTTAGGATGAGCAAACAGAGAAGCTTTCAGAAGTGGCCCTTGATTTTGACACATAATTCTATTTCTTTATAGAGCAAGTTTTAATATGCATAATTAGATTCACATGTTGTCATTCTTAGGCATGGTATACACCCCACAATTTTGTACAGTTTACATCTTCTTAAGCAGTAGATGAAGCAGAAGACAAATTTTGCATGACTACCAGCAAGGTGTAGCAGGTAGAAAAGAGTTAAGCTGACAATTAACAGTAGCATTTAAAGACTTCATTCCTTTGTTTAAATTTTGAACTACAGTTGGGTAAGAGCCATCTGCAATGCAGGAGAGTTACATAAGCAAACATGGAATGGAAAGACACTGTTGAAAAATTAATATTAACAATTTAGAACAGACGTGGGAGATTAAAATGAGTGGAACAGATTAAAATGAGGAATTACAAGGCTATTGCTACTTTAATTGTGAGTTACTTTTTTTTTAAATCTTTCATGTATAACTGTATTTTGATACTTAAATATTAATGTCCTTAATAAACTTAAATATTAATTAAATATAAAGTCACTAGATTTTTGGAAATAATGCAAATGCGAATTCTTCTATAAAAAAACAGTTGTTTCCATTTTCGTATGTGGGGGAAGGTAGCCTAATTTCGACCGTAGCGTTATTTGGACCGCTATGATATGCAAAGACTGATGATATCTGCGAGATTTGAGATAGGCATTTTGTTATACGTAGATGTAGAAGAGGTTAATGCAATTGTGCTTGTAAAGAAACGCCTCGTGGTTACATTGAGAGAAGTGTTATTCGTTTGGCTAAGAAGAAAATCTGTTATTTTGACATAAGTGTGAAAGCAGTTAATTCGTCTAAGCGTAAGTAATTACATGTCTTATTATACCATCACAAAACTTGCTTATTTATGTACAATTTGCAATTATAATTTTGCGAGGTATGTTAGTTTGATGTTTCTGTACAATATCAAGCATTAAATATTCAAGTTTCCCAAGTTGGACCAAAACAGTTGCCGAAATTGAACCGGTCCAATTTTGGGAGCGACATTTCCTTCATGGATAAATTATAATTAACCCTAGAATGCTACCCTTCAAAAAACTTACGGCAATGGCAACCATTCGTCTCCAAGACGAAGTATGTGTAAGCATGCTTAAAACTTATTTTAACCCGCGAGCGTGCACACTGGGTCCAATGAACCCACCCGATTAAAGAAACGTTTCTAAAAAGTCCCTATTTTTCCCAAGTGGTTTTCGTTCAGTGTAGTCTCCTCCAAGGCCATCCTCTTTATGTTTGCGAAGTTTTTTGCCGGAAATTTGATTCGAAGTTTTGTTTTGACGGGATCGGGTTTATCAGATCCAGCGTGCATGTTCACATTCTGTAACGCAGTTCATTTGTGGTAGCACAGAAAGCTTCAAATATGTCACGTAATTTATCCTATAAGAAA